GGTGCAGCTCTCACACCCATAATCAAACTCTTAAAGCCTGCCCCATGGCCACATGAGGCTTTGGGGGGACACACAGACATAAACCATAACATTCCACCCCTGGCCCCCCAAAGACTCATGCCCATCTCTTCATACAAACAGCATTTAGTCCATCCACAAGAGTTGCCAAAGTCCTGACAGTTTCAGCATTGCTGAAGAATCCAAGTCCCAAGTCTCCCCCCAAAATGTAAGGCAAACTCAGCTGAGAGCCCCTGTACAAATGAAAAGTTAAACATTTCCAACATTCAGTGGCACAAAATAAGCAGTACCATTCCAAAAGGTACAAACAGGGGGACACAGAGCATTGGGTCTAATGGTTTATTGAAAGGAACAGTTAATGCTTGCTGGCTTGCTTGCTTGCTTTATTTATTTTTCACCAATTTTACATGCTTATATCTGGTAATCTGAGCAACTAATTTGAAGACAATAATATGCAACATAACAACCACTGTTGAATTCCTACCATCTTGTTTGGTGCAACTCTGTATTGTTTATAATTTTTTGTTTTTACTTTTTGTTCTCTTTAATGGTCTGATCAGTCTTACATTCTTATATCCGGTAATCTGACCAACTTCAGTGAAGATGAAAATATGTAATATAACAACCACTGCTCATCCTTATCATTTTGTTCTCAAACCCTGTATCATTCTTATTGTTTTTGCTTTGCCTTGTTTTTGTCTATGTTGTTGGCATTTTGCTATTGTTCTTTTTTTTAAAATTCCCTTTAAAATAAAAAAAAATTAAATAAATAAATAAGAAAGAGCAACACGGAAGCTTTTCGACCTGTAACCCAATTCTAGATTAGTTAGATACTCAGCGGCTCTCCTCGGCGGGCCTGCATCTCCTTCCCCAAGGAAGTGGTGTCAGGGCCTCACTGAGCCGTCAGTAACTAAGGTGACCGAGACGCTGCTTCCATCAGTGGACAGCCTGGCAATCGTCACCTGCATGGGAGAAACAGAGGGCTGCCTCGGGTAACACTGCGGAGGGTGCAGACACCAGAAAATCCAGCCGTGCCTCCAAGGCTCGTGGGGAGCAGGCTTGAGTATGGAAAGGACCCAAACAGGATCAACTTTTAGTGGTGCTGGGGTGTAACCTACAACAGTCTTTAGACTTTATCATGTGTACGCAGGGTATCAGACTTGAGAAGATACCGAGCTTTGTTCTTGGGTTGGAAGATTCTATTTAATCGGAGCTCTCAGAGTAATAACTCTGCATTGCATCTCATTCCTGTGGGCTCATCGTAAGCTGCCTGTGTGGGTAGAGTTGGTGTGGGTGAGACGGAGACGTGAAACTGAACTCTATTTCTGTAAATGTTCCTCAAATCATTGCTGCGTATGGTACTTGTGTAATAAAAGTATTCTCAGCAAAAATTTTTTAAAAGCATGAATGCAGCAGAATACAGACTTTCTAAGGGAGTTGAGTGGCTCAGGGATGAAACATAATCAGAGGGCTAAGCAATCTGGAGAATAAATAAAAGACAAATTTGCATCAGGCAAACACTGCATAAATGCTGGTGTACTTTTCTGTAGATTTCAAGAGATTGTTTTGGGAAAGGAGAGGACCACTAGACAGTAAGAGATTAAGTCAAAGAAAAAGACACCTTAAACGTGTAATAGACTCAAGAAAATATCCTCAAACATTAAACAGAAGAGAGGGTTATGGATCAAAGATGCTAGTGACAAATCCTTAACTGTGGTGGAAATTTTGACACACCTAAGCGTGAAGGATAATCAGTCCAAATCAGCAAAGACAAAGTAAAAGTTTATCTATATAAATTGAATTAAGTCTGTTTAGGAGGAATCACATGTAGCCCCACATAAGTTATCTCACTGGACGCAAAGATCGGAATAACAGAGTCCCAATCCTGGGAAAGCAGGACGTGGACAGAAAAGGATGCAAAAGTCTAGTCAGGCCTGTGCAAAGCCGCACACTGCCAGGATCTGACCTGGCTCCCGCACCCACTAACAGGAAGGCACATGTGCAAACCAAGCCAGCATCCTAGACGCAGAGCTCAAGCCTCGCAGTCATCCACAACTCACTGCTGCGTGCTGTGGTTTGGATATGCTCCCCGCGGTCCATGTGCTGACCATGTAACCCCCCGTGCAAGCATTGAGAGGGCTCTAGTGTTGTGAGCGTGTGGATAGCGTCAATGCAAAAGAGAGCTAGTTACTGCAGCAGCAGGGCCTGATAGAGACATCTGATCCTCGCTCTCTCTCACATGCACCTGTCCCTCTCACCCTCTGTCTTCCACATGGAATTCCACAGCATGAAGACCCTTGCTGGGGGTGGGGCCCCTGACCTAGGCTGTAAGAAATAGATCTCGGTTCTTGATAAATCACACAGGCTCAGGCATTGTGTTGTAACAGCACAAAACAGACTAAGATACTATGTAATTATCATCCCCACCGCCAACCATTCAAGCGCTTCAGCAGATACGCGTGCTGTCTTCCGCTTGCCACGAACTGGTTATCTTTTGCATTTCCCCTCTGCCAAGCCACGCTGCCTTGGAGCCAGCCAATTATGGACTGAAACCTCTACAAGCCGTGAGCTAAATAAACCTTTCCCCCTTTAACTTTGGGTGTTGGGTATTTTCGCTCAGTGGTGAGAGAAAAGTAATTAAGACAGATGGACAGCACTTTTTTCGTATTGCACCCAAATCAACTTCCCTGAAACCTCTTTTGTTCACTGGTTCTAACCCTGTAGTTCCAAACCGTCTTACATTAAGAGAAAAAAGAAATGGATGGATTAACCTCAAATCAAATAATGAAGCTACCACATTTCCAGTCTTCTGAATAAACAAATAACTATGTGCCTGTGTCTGTAATGAAGCAAAACAACGAACAAGGAAATTGAAATGGAATCAAAAGAACATTCGAACCTAAAGTTGGTGATGCAGGTGGGGGTAATGACATCTTTAGACGAGTCTTTCACCCACCCCGAATGTTCAGACTCTCCTGACACCATGACTTCTTCGGTTCCACCACTGGATGTAGCACTAGGCTTGAAAGTCAGGGGGCTCCAGCCCACACTGGGGAGGACGCTGAGAACTAGGCTGATGGAAGGACAAGGTAGGTCCGTAGGTCAAAGTGCTATTTCAATTTATGTCCGCAAATGTGGAAACTGACTCTTGCTTTAAGCTTCTAGTTCATGCTCTGTAGCACTGTTATATTTTTAGGTCATTCCTCCTAAATCTGACCCAAGATATACATGGCCCACTAGAACCCTGACAGCAGAGGACAGTACTTGGGAGCCCGAAGCCCACCCCCCCGAGTGTACATGCACACTCAGTCTCTGCACAGATGCCTGCTCCCCTCCTACTCATCCCTACAAGTGAAGCAGAAAGGTAAAAGTCCTAACAGCCCATCTTTGGAGAATTTCTAGAGCCCGTCTTGCCCTTAGGGACCCATCGTCCACACCTGCTTACAGGGTGGGGGCTGCAGAAGTTCTTCTAATTAAGGGAGCATGAAGCACCCCAGGCAGTCCCCTGGGGTACATTTCAAGAAGTGAAACCTCCTGGTAAGGCACAAAGTTTTTTTGCACCTCCTTTGGCTCTTATATGTTATATCAAACTGAGGTAATTGGAGCAAAGCACGAGGTAGCAGAAGCTACTGATTTCCTGTCACCTGGTATCCATCGGCCCCAGGCCTGGTCTGTCTCACTCACCCGCCACGACTCGAGAAACCAGACACAGTGTACTGAACTCAGCGGCAAACATCCACATCAGCACTTGAGCCTTGAAGCCTGGGAGAGTCAGGTAAGGAATCTGTGCGCTTTGTTTACACGGCTCAAAATGATGGGTGTGGGGCGGAGTGGTGATAGAGACTGGAAAGTGCTTTAACTCGGTACTCCCCTAGTAGGGCTTCTAATAGTGTCACGATCTGAGCAGGGACAATTTCAAGGCTTGCTACCCACCCACTTCCTTGACCGCTTGTCCTTTCAAGAATTACCCTGGACAGCCAGCTGCAAGCCATTCTACAGAAGCAGTAGAATCTAGCAATGTGTAGGTTAAAGCATGCTTTCCAACTGGCTGGGTTCGAGCTGGAGCACTACCACATACAAGCCATATAACCTGGGTGAGCCACTAAACCTCAACTTGCCTTGGCTTCCTCACCCATTAAATGGGGCAGTAGTAAAACCCATGAGGAGGATCAAACAAGCTAAAACACGGAGGCCTTAAGACTGCCTGATATCAAATGAGAACGTTATCATGGCCATATGAAAATAATTCCAGTCCCTTTGCTGTCAATGTTTTTGACTCTAACGACCCACTGCTCAATGTGAGTGTGCCTAGGTGACGCTAAACCTTGCCGGCTAACACTTTCCGTAGGTGATTATTGCACATTAAATTAACCACAAAATTCTGCCTCAGACCTACAACCTAAGAAGCCAGCAGTAGAGAGAAAGTGGGCACTGGAGACAGGAGGAAGCTCTAATGATGGTTGCAGGGCTTGATCTTAATTATGTCATCATGGTTTTTCTGAAATCAGAGAGAGAGTTTGACTCCCTCTGTCCCTTAAAATGACTTGGCCTGGCCACCGCCAGCCTGGTGAGATGGAGCCACCACCTCTGGAACTGGTGTCCTGAGCATTTACAAACCTGCCCAGAGGAAGGAGCTGAGTTTGCTGTTCAGGCTCATACTCACTGGGCTCACAGTGCAGGAGACAGGTCCCGATGTAACCCCAGCAGGACAGAAATTCCCATAAGAAATATACGCTCCGTGAGAGGTGCTGCGACTTCACACGGGAAGAAAGTCCTCGGGGAGAAAGGACAAATGCAAAGGACTGTGGGTGCCAAAGGAGAATTAACCTGCAGGGAGTGAGGAGGGCGAACCAAGGCACGGGGGGGGGGCTGGGGAGTGGACAGGAAGTAAAGAAGCCAAGAGAAGGAGCAGCCTCGGAGAAGGCAGGGGACAGGCCCTGGAGGGGATAGGAGCTCCTGAAGTGCACGGTTGGGGTAGCGTCCTGAGGAGAACGAGGATGAGCTTCTCCAGCAGGCAATCACAGGGCAGCAAGAGCCTCCATGCTCGGGCAGAGAAGGACTTGGGATTTACGAAGTTTGATCTAGCAGCCGTGCAGAAGGGACAGGAAAATGATTGAAGCCCCCCGCCCCAACAGAAATGACTTAATCCAGGAAGGAAGTAAAAATAAAACTTTTGAGGTGACCCTGGGCACAAGATGTATCACATGACCTGGACGGGTTGACAGTGGGAGATGGAGTTAGAGTGAAATCCAGCTCCAACTTCTTCAGCCTGGGCGATACAGCAGTGTGAGGCCCAGGGCCTAGAAAAGGCCACAGCCTTTGCCTTGGTCTTTGACCCGAGCTGTTCCACTTGGATGAGGCTGGCGGAGATCAGTGAGAAGCACCGAGTGGGCGGTGAGGCAGTGCGGGAAGGGGCGGGACGTGGACTCTGAAGACCCTGGGTACAGTCAGGGGAGGTGGGGCAGCAGCTGGGACACTGTGAGTTTGAAGAGGGGCCTTTGGGATCGGGGGAGTATTTTAGCCATAAAAGGTCCAGTAATAACAATTATCCTTTCAGTTTGGGGTACCTTGTCAATTGCAAACTACTCCTGTTCTAAAAAGAAGAGTTTGAAATGGGCAAGGTAGCCGTGTTCCTAAATTTATAGAGAACACAGACGGAGAAACGACAGAACTGAGCTCACTGCTGCAGAAGGCACAGTGTCAGGGACCACACACGCGGGGAGAACTGATCATGTGGAAAGGCGCAGTCTCGGTAGGCAGCGCTGGGCTGAAGCGCTCAGGGGAACGGAAGTCAGGCCGTTCCTCTCCAGAGACCGGTGCGGAGGAGGCCAGGAAGGATAAAAATGCAGAGCTATTTTGAGAGGTAGAGGAGGAAGTTGAGGTAGCAAAAGTCAGGCAGCTTTGAACTTCTCAGTACGTGATGCAGTTACTGGACCTAAACATCATGATTCAGACCAAAACCCATCGAGGCTGTCAGATGTGCAGGGGACGAGTGTGAGACAGAAGTGCCTTCATATGTCAAGAAAGACTTCCAATGTCATTTCCAATGTTTTCTATCATTTTTTATTCTCTTTAATGGTTTGATCAATCTTGCATTCTTATCTGAGCAACTTCCTCGAAGATAAAAACATGCAATATAACAACCACTGTTAATTCCTATCATTTGGTTTTGAAACCTTGTATCATCTTTATTATCTCTGTGTTGTTTTGTTTCTATCTATGTAGTTGTTATTTTCATTACTTTTTTTCTTAAATAAAAAATTAAAAAAGTTGCTGTAACAAAATAGGATGGTGTGTGGTCAAGTGAGTCCTGACTTTAGTATCAGTGCTGATTTTATATCAGTGAAAATAAAATCCTGCTGTTCTCATATTTTGACAAATGTAGTCAGTAACCCGTATGAATCTGCCACTAGTCTTTGAGCATAATTATAAGTTGGGTTGTACCTAAGTCATTGTGTATACATATTTTTTTAATTTTAAAGAGAAAAAAATAAAAATAAAACGGACTTTCAAAACAAGATAATAGGAGAGTAACAATAATTAATACATTGCATATTGTTATCTTCCTAGTAGTTACTCAGAGTACAAGGTATAGGCATGAGATATTGTCCAAACAATATTAGCACAAATCTCAAAAAAGATTTGTGCTAATATTGTTTAGACATACATCTCTTTTAAGATTTGTGCTAATATTGTTTGGACATATTTTTTAAGACTAAGGCAAAGCTGTAGGAATCTACAATATCTACAATATGAGTAGATAGGCTAGTTCTAGTTTTATGTATTTTTCATGAAATAAAATTCTCTCTTTGTATATATAGTCAAACTAAAATGCCCCAGTAGAATTTGCCTACATTTAAAGGTTCATCTCACCAATAATGAACACACCACCTTAATCAGGCAGCTCATGAATAAGAAAAAATTAAAACAATGAGAACCTAATAATTTCCATCAGTCCAAACGATTGGTGACCTCTGACCTTTGAGTTGTATCTACTAGAATTACCCTCGGGGATGAGTATGGCGCTTTCCAGCTCATTCCATGGTGCTAATAGACCTTGGGAAGATGGATTTCTTTGAACATCCATCTCTGATGACCAGAATTCCCCTGCAGACTCCTTAGTGGTTTATATGAATACAATTTTTGGTGGCCTCTGTGATACAAAGCAGATCCTCAGGTTCACATGACACTCGGTACTCTAGGGCAGGGTCGCAGTCGAGTGAGGAGTGTCCAGTCAAATCCTCTTCCTCCAGCCTGTTTCAGCTGCTCTGTGATCACCCCGATGGCATGTACATCTGAGACAGGAGAGAGGCGTGCACAGGCAAAGCCCGACTTCCTATCATGTACCGGGCACCATTGGGTAGGAATGAGGCCTCATTTCCCAGCTTTAACATTTATGTAACTTTGAACAAATTGCCTAATTTCACCCTCATTTCCTCTTCTCTAAAACAGATGCACTGCTTCATTCCTTGTCTGCTCTGTGAGGTAAAGGAGACGTCTTACACAGCATCTCTTTGTCACTGTAAAATAAGAGGCAAATGTGAGAGACTCAAACTTACCTGTCTCAGAGCAGACCTGTGTGATGTTAGTAAGTAAAATCCAGAGTAGACAATCTCGACCTTGGAGGCCCTTAACATGAGTAACAATCAATAAAGACCGAAGATGAGACCCCGAAAAGAGGTTTCCAGAGGCCAGGAAAAACCCAACCGAATCCCCACAAGTGGACGGCATAAGTGAATAGTCAAGAAGGTTGAACAGGGTCTTAGATGTTAGAACGAGGAAGGTGCTCAGTGCCCTCTCGCTCAGAAACAAGAGGCCCACGAAGAGTAACAGGGAGGACTGAGCACACTCGTTCAGCCGTTAACTCGTTTACTTCGTGGCACATTCTGTCCGGAACGTTAAGAACAGCAATGACGGTACAAACAGCCACTAATTATTCAGACTTGGTGCTTTACATGCACTTATTACTCCTTCAGTTATACTTATTAAGAAGAATCTATATTCCGTGAGAAAAGCCACAACCAGCAAAGACCCGAGGTGGTCGTCCTCAGGGCTTGGTCACGGGGAGCGAAGAAAACAGGGTGTGCGGGGGGGAAAGACAGCAGCTAAGAGGGTGTGCCATGGAGTGAGGGCTCCGGGAAGGCTCCTCCAGGCTGACACTGACCTAAACCTGAATCGGAAGGCTGCCATGAGCTGTCAGCACATTTAAGTCTTACAGCAACCTATGAGACAAGCATTATTATTATTTCTGTTCTGCTGTTGGTGAGCCTAAGGCTCAGGGAACTTAAAGTGCTCATCCAACCTCTCAGAGCAAATTGAAGGATTTCCATTTAAACTCAGGCACTCCGACGCGGGCGGCCACAAGCTTACACTCCATGCAACTTGAGAAAGCCTTCTGGATGTGACTTGTTCAAGGTCGCAGTGTTCGAGAGGCAGCAGTAAGGACATTCTTCACGGTGCTCTCCCATGGTGCCTCTGGCCCATCACAATGGTCAGGGTCAGATCCACAAAAGAACAGATCAACATAAAATACATTTTCCAACATTAAACATAAGACAGACATCCAGGGGTGAAAGACAAGACATGTGGATGGGATTGGGGTGTACCTCCCTGGTAGAGCATTTGCCTGGCACCTACAAGGCCCCGGGCTCAATCCCTAGCACTAGAAAAGGAGAAAGAAGGAGGAGAAAAAAATTAAAGAATACAGGTGGCTATGTATGATCCGTGGCATTTCTTCAAAGGTAAAACATGCCCCAGCATCACTGCCGAGAATGCTGCCAGAGACTCCAGGCCCCAGGTCCTTATCCCAGAGTGCCCTGCTGACCCCTTCTCAGCACTTGGCAGGAGGCCCCACCTCAGATCAGATCAGAGGCCACCAGGAGGAAGTCACACCTATACTCCATGACACCCGTGGAGGGATTGCTGAGAGACACACTCAGACACACAAGATGGCAAAAACCTGCCCTCATTTATCATTTTATTTTAGGAGTGCTGAGAATAAAATGACAACACCTCGGAATTCCGTGAGTGGAACTTTCCCAGCGGAGCCTCCAAAGGGCCCTATTTCTATGCAACCTGCTAATAAAGTAAGCTTCCAGAGGGTGCCAGCGGTGGGCCCCACGCAGAGCTTCTTCATGCGGGAATCGAAGGCTCTGGGGGTAAGTCAGTCCCGCTCCACTGTTCCACGTCCCAGAGGCAGTCTGGCCCCAGGCGATGCTGCAGGCCATGCACAGAGTCCAACCCAACCTGAAGCTACGAGATCCTCCCTGGGCATTCTTTATGGCTGACACCATGGGCCAAATCAAGGATGTGCTGGAGAAATTACCACGGGATCACTTCAGGGTGGTCCTATGTCACCACTGGGTTTGGAGCGGTGTATGTTAGTGATCTTCCACCCCAGTACTAGAATCTCAAAATGTTTCTGCTCCTTGGAAATGACCAATGGTGGGAAAAAAATTGATCTGAAAAAGAAAAAAGCGAGATCCTTGGCACCTCTCCCATCTCCTTCAGACATTCTGCATGGACCTGACCTTTCCCTTCCCACAGCAGCAGTTCGGCTCATGACCAGTGCCCTCTTCTCTCCCCAGGCCATCCAGATCATGAACGGGCTCTTCCACATGGCGCTGGGAGGTCTACTGATGATCCCCACAGGTGCCCACGGGCCCATCTGTGTGGCCGTGTGGTACCCTCTCTGGGGAGGCATTATGGTGAGTGAGAACACAATGACCGCTGGTGAATGAGTCAAGAAAAAGTGCTAATAAGATCCAGGCTCTTTTTGTGTTAAGGAAAGCATGAGGAGAGGAAATAGATTATCCAGTTAAACTCATTAAGTGGGAAGACAGATTGACTAACCTGAACACGAGATTCCCGGTTGAGAGCCTGTGGCCACGCCTCATGTGAATTCAGAGGCGATCTTTGTGGGTCTGCACAGGGGAGGAAGACCCTTCAAAGCAAGGTCTCTTCACAGCGAGCTCTAGTAGGGAGCGAGATGCTCGATATTTGGTATCGTGAACCCCAAAGTACATTTTCATCAGTTGAAAGAAAATAGAGCTGAACATAAAACTGAATGCGCTGACATTCTCTTACCTATGCTGCTTGGGTGCATTATTCTGAGTCACCCTGTGAAAGACGGTTAGCCAGGGTGGATGGCAAACTCTGTCACTAAGGGTTAGGTGCCATGACGGTTGCTGCCGTTCATCCCTATTTGATGCTATAGACTACAGGGTTCTAGTTGACTGGCGCATTGACAGTGAAATGTGAGTTCTGTCTCTTTGCTTTTACATATTCCCAGCTCCAAGTCCTTAGGCGGCTGAATGTCATACATTAAATGTAGCTGAGCCTGAGTAAAGAAACATACGTGCTGAAAAATGAAGCACCCTGGTAAAAATGGGTGCATAGCTCACAGGAAGTATCTGCAGGTGAAGACGACTCCTCCATGACCAGTTCCCAGTGTTCGAAAATGATCTCCCCGTGTCTTCCCCTTTGTTCCCTTTCTCTGCCCCTCCCCTCCCACCTTCCTCACCTCTCTTTTTTACAGTTTATTATTTCTGGATCATTCCTGGTAGCCACAGAGAAAACCTCCAGGAAGAGTCTGGCAAGTAACCTTATATCCTTTTGTCCCACACATGAGGGAAGGACTGATTTTCTCCTCTGAAAGCAGACCCTTCAAGAGCTTTGCAATCAGGGACGCTGTGCTCCAAAAGGCCAAGGCTCCTGATGGTTCCGCTGTGATCTTGTTCATCACAAACCTGAAAGCCAGAGCCCTTGCGAGGGCACAGACAGTCTTGTCACACGAGGTGCTGTGTGAAAATGTTAGGCCTTTCTGAAAGCCATGTCTGCTCTCCCGGATGAGTGCTGGGAAAATTACCTGATCAGAGTTGTGATGAATTCAAGTTCTACCTAAGTTGGAACTTTGAGTTACAACCTGGAGCAGACCAGTTTAGCTCTATGAACCTCCAAGTTTTTACCTGTAACACGGAGATAGAACCCTGGCTGTTGGGGGTGACGTCAGCCCGGGAAGGAGGGGAGTAACAAGGAACCGTGTTCCAGTAGCCATGAGTGGTGTTGTTCGCATGACTCTCAGGCACATTCCCACTCAAGGAGAGGCTTCCCGCAGAGCTCCCTGTGCTGGAGGAGTTGGAAAGAGTTCACGGGCGAGTTTCCCCTCCAGAAATCCTGTCCCAGAGCTTGGTTTCACGCACTGGGCGGAGTCACTTCTGCAGTCAGGGAAGCACTGAGCGCCCTCCGCTGGCTCCTCTCTACAAGACATTTGGGAAGAAGAAGCTATTCTTAAAGATCAAATCATTCCTTTCCCCAAATACCACCACCTCTGCTAGCTTGCTGCATGCGTCACATAGCCAGGGAAGCATTACATGCTTCCTAAAATACTCGGCAGTGAGTGACCCCGTACTGTTAGGGGGCTTGTCACATATATTTTCCCGTTTCCAACTCGTGTCATTCCTGCGCGGCACAGTGTTCACTCCGCCTGCTAATAAACTGAAGGATTTCCATTAGCAGGCGGAGGTCTGGTCAGCCTCGCTGCGGGTGCAAACATGGCTGTCTGGGCCTGGTTGCCACCTACCCCGGTAGAGTAGGTAGCTTTGTCACTGCCACCACCTTTGCCTCGCTTTGGTGGCAAGGTCCCAGGGGCTTCTAGCTGTTCCCTCCCTGCGGTGCCTGCACCGCCATCCACTGGAGTGTGGTATAAGAACCTCCTCCTCCCTCTCAGCCCTGCTTTCTTGTGCATGGAGAATTATACGGATGCCCTTAGTTTTAATGTATTCAGCATATATTTATAAGTTGCATAGTAGGATCTCGGTGGTGAAAGATGCAAGGATACAAGCTGTAAGAATGAAGGAGCACGCGTAGATTTGGAGATTCACAGGCTGGGTGGATGGAGGTACCATAAAATTAAATGAGGAGGACAGAAAAACAAATAACACAGAGAGAAAGAGGCTAAAGTGCATGGGAAGAAGCACTTTCATAGGATTTCAGTGCGGCACCTCTGTGAGTCAGGGAAGTAACTCCAGGATTCCTTCCTTACCTTATATTCTCCAAGTGGAAATCAAAACCTAACTAACAAATCTGTTTGCCTCTGTTTCAGATCAGAGTGAAAGTAATAATGAACTCACTGACCCTCTTTGCGGCCATTTCTGGAATAATACTCTTGATCATGGACATACTTAATATTAAACTGTCCCATTTTTTAAAAATGGAGAGACTGATTCTTATTAAGACTCCCGTGCCGTACATTGACATATACAACTGTGAAGCAGCTGGTTCCTCTGATGAAAACTTCCCATCCACACAATACTGCTACAACATACAGTCTGTGTTCCTGGTGAGTGTGAGACCGGGTTCCTCTCCGAGGAGGAAATACTGTGTGGCGATTTTAAACTGCGTATCACTTCTAGGCTCAGCTCTGGTCTGCTCCTTACTGCCTGTGTGGCTGTGGGCAAGAATTTTACTGATACACTGCCTCAGTTTCTTCAGCTGTAAAATAGGAATACAACATTGCTTAGTTCATAGGGTTATTCTAAGGAATAACTGAGAGCATATACAAAGTACTTAGAACAGTGGCAATCAGCACTGTGTTTAACTTTCTGATTATTAATATAATCAATGCTATTTAAATTAATCACTGTTAAATTTGAGAAATATGGAAAAAGTTCCAAAGATATGAACATCTTTTCCTTCATGGAGTTTTTAATGTTGAGTTTGAAGGGAAAATGCACGTTCTCCAACTACAGAGAAGTCTCCTTAGTGTGATAGCACCCCGCATACAGCTGCACAGAATCTAATTTTGACCTCAGTACTTATTCTACACAGAACTGATTCTTCACCTGATTACTCCTGCTTTACTTTCTTCAGCATATGTGTTCGCCAGCTGTTGTGTGCCTGCCATTGTGGTTATGAAGGCGTTGTCTTCTACATTCACCATGCCTCTGCTACTCACCTCTGCTTAAAGAACTGATCTGTGGGTCATCTAGTTTTTCACCATGTCAACAACCACACAGTGAGCACCAACCATGTCCCCGGCGCCATGACAACCTTGTCACCTTTGCTCTGCTGTGTTTTCCAGGGCATTTTGTCAGTGATGCTGATCTTTGCCTTCTTCCAGAAACTTGTGGCTGCCGGCATTGTGGAGAATGAATGGAAAAGACTGTGCTCCAGACCCAAAGCCGTAAGTAGACACAGCTCTGCGCATCACTGTGCTCTAGATAATTCTCACCCGCATGGCATCCTTCACGGAGAACGGGATCTAATGACACTTTGAAACTAAGCATTTTACTGAAGATGATCTTCCATATTGCTAGAAAGCAGAAAATATCAATAGTGAAGAAAATGTCTGAAATTTGAAATACGTCTAGAGTTAGATGGAGAATATAGGTCTACAACAGATGATCTTCTTCCCTTCTCAACTTCAGACTTCCATCTGGGGTTCAAAATTCTACACTTACACTTCAAAGTGAGGCTGGTGGTCCAGGCCTGAGTGAAGGCACTGGTTCTTTGACTTCATTTCTCTGTGTCCCTTCTTCTCCCCACCCGCCCAGCTAATTCCTCTCCCAAAACGATAGCTCTGAAGCAACTCCAAAGTTGGGAAATATGAATATCCCAATGATGGATCTACCTACTGCTTCAGAACTACTTAGATTTTAAATAGACAGATTTACAATTTATTTTACAAATGTAGAAAGTAGAGTAAGAAAGAGAAAATTACCTCTCTGGGGTGATAATCATTAGAGAAAATCCAGAACTAGAATCTGAACTCCCCCATTACTGCAGTGCTCTTTTCCCACACTGCGTGACCACGCCAGGCAAAGTGATAAAGGCTGCAACTCCCCACGATTGACTCAAACTTGAGTTTTGAGGAGAAAAGGATTTGAGCATCTGAGTGATTAGTCCTGGTAACTAGAGGTAGGCTGTCAATAGTATAAGCAGCATAAAAACTAAGCGATACCTAGTAAACAAGTGTAGAGGTTATTGAGAAAGATGTCAAGATCAAAGTCAAGAAAAATGTGTTTGTGTTCTAGAGTGTGGTTTTGCTGTCAGCTGAAGACAAAAAAGAACAGACAGCTGAAATAAAGGAAGAAATGGTTGAGCTAATTGAAGTGTCTTCCCAACCAAAACCTGAGGAAGAGATTGAAATCATTCCAGTCCAGGAAGAAGAGGAAGAAACTGAAGCAAACTTTCCAGAACCTCCGCAAGACCAGGAATCCTCCCCAGTAGAGAATGACAACTCTCCTTAAACTGTTTCCTCTGCTTTCTCTTTTTTTTAATTGCTATTATCTCCTTAGCAAAAGAAACAGAAAGAGTAAATAAGATCCACAGGTACAACAGATACTGTGAAAGGGAAAGAAGTGCTCCTCTGCTGCCTGTTTCCTCTTTTCAGCGTTAGTGTTTACAGCTTCCAAAACACAGCTGACCTACTGCGATCTTCTGCATCTCTTTTCCGTATTTGCATTTGTCATTTCCGAAAAGCCTCTGGTCTCTTACATTACTCAGAATGTAGCAAATGTAGCTGGTTGTTTTGTGATGTTTCATGTTCATAATATCCTTCCTACATGGGGAAGAGGCAGAATAAATGCTGAAGAATATGATTTCTTACTAGATTTTTCTGGTTCTTCTTTGCTCCTCTAATCTCGAACTACGGGAGGCTCCTCTAGCCTTGAGCTCACATTCCCGTGAGGTAGTCTGGATTTGAACCATCTGATGTTAGGTAACCAGTACTCATGTCAGTGTATTCTTACACACACTCATCTCAAGGAACGTGTTCACAGTGTCGGGTACTAGTGACGTGCTGCTACTTCTCAGCAGCCCACAGTGTGACTGGGACACCTGGCACATGCTCTTGCCTTGAATTAGAGAAGAGGAAAACCTTCAGATGCCAATGGCTATTTCAAAATCAGAAAACCTTCCAAAATGCGTAATATCTAATTTACTCCACTGCTGAAATATATAGAATAATCCCATTCCAACACCAATCACTCCCTTGGGAATTTCATTTTATTCATTTTTCTGATATCAGTTATTTTTTACCAACTTGTATAACTCCTGAGACACTTATTAATGTCTACTGAAGAATGGAAATTTGTATTATGACTTCCTCCCAGGTTATCCCTTTCTCATTATACAATCAAGTAACATTGGCCAATAGCAAACGTGCTTTGCTGTGAAATACAAAATAGGTTCTCTGGCTTTAAATTAGTTTTTTCCTGTCAGTATTTATTTTTGTAACAAATTGTATACCCACCCTCTCAATTTGGCGGTGTCTAAGAAGGGTTTCCTGGGATGCAGGATTTTCAGTGTTAACACCAAGACAGTTCTAAGTACATGGATGGCTGATCATCCTAGTTCATAGCACTGTGGAACTTCAGTCAGTTGTAATCACTGCATAGCACGATCTGCTCTTATGTGTGACTATATCACAGACTTTTCTTTGTTGATACATAATTTTCACACATACATTTTAACTGCAACTTAACACTTCATAAATCAACATAGATTAATTGACCACACCACATATGTACTTAAAGTATTTCCTTTTTTCAGCTGTTTCAGTTTGGGGTTTTTGGAAAATCATTTCTGGGACTGTAGAAATGATCAGTAAAGATGGGTTCTTCCTCTTCTCATCATGCCAAATGTGGCGTCACACTCCAAGCCTTCTCAGTGTCTACCACTAAAGAGGACTGGTATTTTGGAAAAACCAGGAAATAAATTTGTTTATTTCATTCTAACAAGTGAAATTCAACAATATTACACAGAAACGCTAGCTTCAAGTTGATCTAGCATGAGTTCATCTATGTAGTTCTACTCATTTTAAGTTCTTGGCAGTAACCTGAAATGGTGATGGGGATTTAAATACAAAATTATCTTGGGTTCAGTCTGAAATCCTTAAAGAGCGTTCCTTTCATTCAAACCAAATTGTTCCCTGAGCTAAAGCAAACTAAAGCACATAAATGAATACAGTCATGTAGTCCAAAAGTCAGAGTGATTGAAGACTCATAGGCAGTCACGTTTGGCCCTAACTCATCTACTGTGCCTTACAGTTCAAGAAAACATATATACATGCTTTCTGCTGCAAGTAAAAACAAAATCCTGTAGGAAGACACAAATAACCACTGAAAAATCACGGACTTATTCATGTAAAAATATTTACTAATTCCATCCCATTCCACAGCACACAAGGGTGAGCAAAGATAAGCAAATTGTCTTCTCTTAGACCTTACTCCCTGGCTGGAGGAAGAGTTGGTAGTAGAATCCATCTCGTACCACTGTGGTGGGTCAGCTTTCCACTGCTGTGGCAAAGTCTCTAAGGAAACCGACTTCAGAAGAAGGAAAGTTTGTTTTGTCTCATGGTTTCCAAGGTATGAGTCCGTGGTCACTTGGCCCCATTGCTTGGGAGCTTGTGGTAAAGTAGAACAGCATGGTGAGGGGAACACAGTGGAGCAAAATACCTAAAATCATGGAGACTGGAAGAAAAAAAAAAAAAAGGAGACAAAGGGGCTGGGGTCTGCCGTCCCCGTGAACAGCGAGAATCCCAGATGACCTAACTTCCTCCCACTGAGGCCACTCTGACAGGGTCCAGCACTTCCCAGCAGTGCCACGCACGAGCCAAACCTTCAGCATCAGGCGCTCAGGGATATTTAAAACCCAAACCGTAACACAGGTAAGGCAAACTGTGAGACACACAAGGGTGGGTCTAAAATAGGAGGCGGGCCCTAGCCTCACAAGTCTGACTGTGTAACTTAAGAGGGTGAAAATATATCCATAGAGATAACCAGTTTGAATCCAAGAACACTGCAGTGGAGAAGAAAAATCTCAACAAACGGTCACGGGACAACAAATAGCCCCATGCCGAAGAATGACACTGGAAACCTAACTCACACAATATCCAAAGCCAAACCCTTAGGTAAGAGTTCCCACGGGACGGTGACTCTGTTAGGAAGGCCCCCCGTGGGCTGTCTCAGAAAACGCAACAGGTGAGGCTGAAACTGGGGCCGTGTGAGAAGCAGGAGGGGGACTGAGTGTCCTGCTCAGAGGCTACAGAAAGGCAACGGTCTGGAAGGGCGAAGCAGCCGCTGGGAAGTGCGGATGAGCTGAGAGAGAAATGAAGACAGAGTAGAGGCCAGCAGGCTCAGCATTAGGGGAGACAGTTTCAGGAAAGCACTACTGAGGAGAAACGACCTGTAATCCAGTGGGGGAATGAGCACGACGCATCTGCAGGCAAACTGCGAGCAGGCTCGGCTCGGAGGTCTCTGGTTGTGCAGGAAAAGAAAGACAAACTTTGATGATCTGTCTGAGAATCTAGGTCACCAGTTACAGATCCAAACAGGGCCACAGTCACTGGACAAACTGAAAAAGTATTTACTGAGCACCTGCAGTGTGCTAACGCCAAAAAGCACGAATGACATCCACAAAGCTCCTGTCGCTGTGTAGTTCACAGGACTCAGATGCGCTAGCCTGCACTCACTGGTCAGTGGTCAAGGGGATGACAGGAAGTTTAGACAGCTCTGTCCCCTTAGAGCTGAGATCCACACGACGTTCCAGTGTATAGCAGTTTAGCGATGTATGGAGGGCTGTGTGCGGCTTTTACAATGTTCTTGATCTTCAGACCAATATTTCCTCAGATTTGATGGAAGCAACCCACATGACGGATGCCACAGAAACACCTTTGTGGACTGCAGCATCCGTAACAGAAGTAAATATGACTCCATGAGCCAGGTGGGATGGGAGAAAAAGAAATCCACAGGCCTTGAGTGTCACAAAGCTCTTGTTGTGTAACAACTCCATCACCAATTCTCATCAGCTGTTACAGTAAAACAGCTACTGAGCGATCTATCCACAACCCCAGTGCTTTTATCTTTACAGGAAATGAAACTTGTTAAAGTTATGCTTCTGCGTTTTGCAGGAAGCAGCTGCCATGAATCTCAGTTTGGGGAGGAACAATCTGCGTCACAAAACTTTAGTCAAACCTAGTCAGCGAGACAGGACAAAACGTTTCATTTAAGTAAACTTAAACTTGGTGCTTGATAAAATAATAAGCTAACTTCCCCCTAACATGTAGTATTCATAAACCTTTTGATTTGTCAATATAAAACTGGAAGATTCTTTTTAAATTTTTCCTCTTTCATGGTTTCATTTGAAAATTTTATAATCAGGACAGCTCTGAGAAAGACAAATTCAAAATGGGCTATCATGGATGGGGATGAAGGAGTCGATTTAAGCTGAACTGTGTCTTGTGAGTGCAATTTGGAATTCTAAGAACAGAGGTATAACACTTTTTAGAAACAATAGCTTCCAGTTGCACCTAAGGAAACTTTAATAAAACTCCCGACATTTGTTTCCCAGAGAGTCTGATACTAACACTAATCTGTACTTAGCTTGGGCATACATTTCTTAACTCCCACTTGACTCTACTGTGTACCATTTCGAGAACTGTTCTAAGTTGCTTCTGTAGACTCCAAGACATAACAAAGCACAAAACCAAACAGAAGGGAGAAATGTCTATCTGTCCTTCCTTCTTTCCTTGGTTTTGCTTTGGGCTTGGGTTTTTTGTTTGTTCTTCTGTTATTTTAGAGGGACCACCTTTGCAGGAAGTGGACTATATAATTTAATTTCTGAAGAAACGTAATGAAAAGAATACTTGTGAAATAATTTTATCAAAGCAGTTAGTTGGTGAGAGAAAAGATGCACAGGTCGAAGAGAGCCAAATTAAAGTCTCATAAAAGAAAATTGGAAATTGGTGAGCTGATGTTTGACAACGTCCCATGGCATTTTGCAGGAGGTGGACACTGGCTACGGGGGCTGCCCCTTGTGAAGCCAAGCTGCTTTTCATAACAGCTGGAGTGGCAGTTGCATGGATAGTGCTCCTGCATAGATGTTCACCGAGCCACACGTGCTAGTGTCTACGCGTGGGAAGTAATCTCCTCCGCTCATCACTGTGGCTAGATTTCGACTTGCAGGATGGGAAGAAGGACAGATGGCAAGGGGACAGCAGTGATATGCAGCAGCGACGCTAGGACAAGGACTGCTTCTTCTTCAGCATCTGGATCTACAGTTATGCCTATGCCTCACAGAATGGAAGAAGAAATCCATTTAAATTAACACAACACATACATTGGCCAAAAATAAGATGAAGAGAAACCCATATTGTCATACACCATGTGACGAGTGTGGGAGTATAAACACTATACTCAGAAAGTAGTTTAGTCCTCAGCTCAACAGATGCATGACCCCACTGTACAGATTTAACCAAATGCCATTGCTCAAGGTCACACAGATGGTGAGAAGAGAACAGCAACACACACCTCACGCTCACTGCAGTCTTTGTCCTTTCTGTCTTTCCTCAGACCAAAAATAAAACTCCCACTGTCTTCCATCTGGAGACACACATATTGCATTGATTCTCCAGTGTTTTCCACAGTGGACCATCTTTGCATCCCACAGTGTGGCAGAGTTTTTCTTTTAGTGTTCCATAAAATAATGGTGCATCTGGCCCACCATGAGGTGATAGACTCAGTGAAACACTTAGGTGCCAAGCTTGACAGAAGTTCTGAAAATGCATTTTTAAAATCATAATAGCACAATAGCTCAGATTTGGGTAT